CCTGGGTTCTTTCCTTACCTTGCCCAGCTGGATTCATTCTTGCCTGCGAAAAGCTGACAAAAACAAGGACAACAAGATGAGCTTCAAGGAGCTGCAGAACTTCCTGAAGGAGCTCAACATCCAGGTGGATGACAGCTATGCCCGGAAGATCTTCAGGGTGAGGCAGGGAGTGAGCGCCGGGGTCAGGTGGCAATGAGGTCCTTGGCCACAGTCTGCTCTGAGCCCTGCCTGCTTGGCTGTCCTGGCTTTGCAGGAATGTGATCGCTCCCAGACAGACTCCCTGGAGGACGAGGAGATTGAGGTCTTCTACAAGATGCTGACCCAGCGGGAGGAGATCGACCGCATCTTTGCTGAGGCCGCAGGCTCCGGGGAGACCCTGTCGGTGGATCAGCTGGTGAAGTTCCTGCAGCACCAGCAGCGGGAGGCAGCTGCAGAGCCTGCAATGGCCATCTCCCTCATTGAGCGCTATGAGCCCAGCGAAACTGGTGAGAGCCTGGCCAGGGCCTTGGGTCTGCACTCTAGGGGGCCCTGGGGGGTCCCAGGAAACCGGTGAGAGCCTGGCCAGGGCCTCGGGTCTGCACTCTAGCGGGCCCTGAGGGGCCCTGGGAAAGCAGTGAGAGCCTGCCCAGGGCCTCGGGTCTGCACTCTAGAGGGCCCTGGGAAGACTGCTACCGGAGAGAAGCGGGTGGAGGGAAGGGGGTGCCTCACCCAGCCCCAGGGCTCCTTACCTGCCTGGGCAGTATTTGCCTGCCCCCTTAGAGCAGACAGACAGGGGACAGGGCTCCAGCATCACTACCCCTCAGTGGGCCTTAGTTTCCCTCTTGGTTCCTCCTCCACGGATTTCAGGCCTGCCTCCTTTCCCCCCAGGAAATATATATGGAGAGGTGGCTGGAAAAGCAGACATTTTTCTGCTTCCTTCTTTGTGCCCAGTCTGGGCCCATCTTTGGGAGGTGACAGTGCAGGGGACATGGGGCCTTGCCCTGCGGGGGAGAAGTTTCCACTCTGGGGGCGCAGAGACAGAGGAGGTGAGGGTCTGCCCCCAAAGACCTCACACTGTGGGGACAGAGGAGGAGGAGGCAGGACCCCACCCTGGGGTAACCACAGTCTGATTGGACACTCATATTCACCCCACTTCCATGGATGTCGCGGACCAGCTCAGGGCAGGGAGCCAGCGGGAGGCAAGGGACAGGGCAGCTCTTCCTAGAGGCGGGCCAAGCTCAGACGCCCGGCGGCCTCCCTCCCAGCCAAGGCGCAGCGGCAGATGACCAAGGACGGCTTCCTCCTGTACCTGCTGTCCGCGGACGGCAGCGCCTTCAGCCTGGCGCACCGGCGGGTCTACCAGGACATGAGCCAGCCGCTCAGCCACTACCTGGTGTCCTCCTCGCACAACACCTACCTGCTGGAGGACCAGCTAACCGGGCCCAGCAGCACGGAAGCCTACATCCGGTGGGGGCCCGAGCCGGGGCGGGGCGGGGCCT